GGCAGCGGGGGCGGGGCGCGCCCTACCGTACTCTCTGGATTAGCCGCCCCTCACGGGACCGGGGACGTCCGGTCTGGTGTCTATGCGGCACTCGCCCGATGGCCACGAAACCTCTGAGAGACCGTTCGCAGAGGCTGTGTAAAATTATTCCATACCGCAGTCCATCAAGGAGCTTTGATTTCCACGCTCCGCGAAGACCCCTGCCTGCGGGAGAGCATGAATGTGCACAGAAAGATGAGCAGGAGAAAAAAGAGAGAGGGAAGGTCTTAGAGGCATGTTGCATCTATCTGTGTTAAGAGGCAAACTGGTGCTGAGATTCCTTCCACCCTGCAGCCCTAGTTTATCACCTACCTGCACACTATCCCCGTCCCACCTGCAGGTTGCATCGGGGCAGACTGCAACACTTGTAAAGCAGTGAAGGAATATAAGCATTTGCTTACTTTTGGGTGGCTTTGAACTTGTCCTCGTATGACTGATCTTAGCTAGTCCTCCATGCAACATCAGCAGAAGTCACCACGCTGAATTTCACAGAAATAAATCCTACTTAGGTTTGTAACCCAAATTTATGATCTTTAAATGTAGAGATTGACAGAAATACAAGTATTCTGGCTCCTTGTGAGCCTGGAGTATATACTGGACAAGGAATGGAGACATCAACCTCAGAATGTGGAGAGCAGGGAAACGGGAGCCTCACACATCCCTCCAGGAGTTAGTACTGGAAGTGGACTCGGCTCCGCATGGGCAGTTTCAGCCCAAGGGAGTGCTGTGCAGTGCAGTGTCCAGGCACTCCTGACCTACAGAGTGCTACCTGAGGGGAAGCATTACACTTCATGCAGGTAACTGCGCAGGCTGCGAGGACAAAGTCTCTTGTATTTGGAGATCAGGACCTGGCCAAGGTGAGGGATCAGCATTTTGTAAATTATGCACCTTGTGCAAAGGGTGAACCTCCTGCCACACAACCCAACTCTGTAGTCAGGTTTACTTTTAGGATAATGTGGTGAGCTGAAAACAAGAAACCCACTCAGCAGATGAATGCCAAGTGAAGTTTTTATTTTCTACCTTGACTTTTATAGCTACAGATCAGGGCCAGACTATGCAGCCGATGAGGATGTTCGCATCCTACACCAATTTCCCATCCATCTTTTCCCATACTTTATGGCCAGGTGTTCCAAGGCCAAGATATCCTGCCACACACCACGCATGCCCTTCAATCAGTGTTCTGGTCGAGATAACCCAGGCACACAGTGCTTGGTGTAGTTCTGAACTCCTACTTTTAGGCTGGTCCAAGGTCCTGTTATACTTCATAATAACATTGTTTAGTCTTGTAAAGATTGCCTTTGTATAAATCCCAGCAGGTTCATAATTCAGTTTTCTGTCCAACATTCTTACTATAGATTACCTTGGTAAGGTCCAAAAGTTAATTAGTGCTGAAGTTCTCTGGAAATACATCAGAAGTTTCTGAGGAATTGATCTAGGCCTTGGTCTGAGTCTGATTTGAAATTTGAATCTGAAATTAGATGCCATTAACTTCTTAATATAATAAAAATGCATTCTATATGCCATGCATCTTCAATTTCTGCATGCAAAAAACTGAGACACAAGAAAGTTTAGGCCGAATCCTAAAACCATCCATCAATTTTCAATCACTGGGGACAATGATCTATTTTGAAGCAAGTAATTTTTTTTTGTGCAGTATTTAAGCTGCTGTTTCAGTTCTGTACAAGAGTGAAGATGTTTTATTATGAAGAGATGTCATATTCAGTGGATTTGCAGCAGGAGAAATCAATCTTTATCAGCCTGGAAGATTGTTTGTGTATATTTTTTTAAAAACTTAATTAGCAGAAGTTACGGCCTTGTTTTTTCCTTCCAGGAAAAACCTTTGAATGCATTTCAGAGGGGGCAAGGAGAGGAAGAGAGTCAGTAGCATTTAAAAATGTAGAGAAGTATCTGGAACCAGAATACCTTTCATGGTTTAACAATAGCAAAATCTGATTAATTTTACATTAGATGCTATATTTAAAGATAAGTAAATTATGGCTTTTCAACCAACTTTTCTGGTAAAAGCAACTTTTTGAGCTTCTTGTTACATTTTCTTCTTAAAGCTGTATTTCTTTTGATACATCAGGACCTGCCTCTATTCACATTGTCAATCGTGTTCATATTTATCTGCTGTCTTAGAAGAGACTTATGTAATTGGGAATTCCTGTTCTAAGAGTGCTAATGGGGTCACTTTTCTGTTAACTCTATTTCTGTGGCCTGCCACTTTGATGCATTTCAGTTCTTGAAATAATTTTATCCTTACCTTGTCCATTTAAACTACATTAGGTCCAAACCTTCCATTCCTATTTACTCATTCTTTGCCTTCCAGAGGTACTTGGTCTCACCACATGCTCTAGTTATACATACATTTTATATATTCTGAGCTGCAAGACACTCAATTTACTTTCAGTAGCCTGTTATGTTCAAGAAACAGTATCTAACCATCTCAGATGCCTAGGGTTTTAGGTATGGTGGCAGCTATCACCAAGGAGGAGAGCTGAAGTTATATAGTCAATCTTCACACTGCAGCACCCCATACTCTGTGTAGCATTTCAGTAAATTTATCTGGATGACAGTAGTAGAGGGTTAGGATCTTAATAGCCACTGCTTTCATCTCGAGACCGTTAGACCTCCCTTGAACAAGGAACATCAGGCCCACCATATAATAACTTTTGTTAAAAAATAAGGCCAGTGCAGGGAAAAACCTGCGGAAAGGACCCCCTCGCCGGTGGGGCCCGGAGCATCCCTCACCACCAAACCCTGAGGGAGTGTGAGGGAAGGCCAGGCCCGAAGGGTAGTGAAGGCTCCCTCACCTCACCCCCGCCCGGTCACCGCTCACTCTTCCCTACAACTCTCTCACGTCTCTTCTGTTTTTGCTCTCTGCCGAAGGCGGGGAGCAGCGAAAGGGGCGGACCCGTCAGGGAGGCGGCGGGGCCTGGCCGCGGCAGCCTCTGAGGGCGGAACTGGTTCCCGCCTCTCCGGCACTGCCTGCGCATGCGCGTTCGCATCTCAGCGCCAGGCGCGCGCGGTGCGGACGGGCGGCTGTTGGCAGTGGAGCGGCGGCGTGACTGAGGTGAGCGGTTGCATGGGGCGCTATCTCGGCGGGGTACGGCCTGAGGGGAGCGGAGCGGAGATCTCCCCGCTGGCAGCCGCGTCCTGGGCTGGCTCATTCCTCTCAGAGGCTTTGGGGGTGGGGGGGTTCGCGGCCCTCAACTGTGGTGCGGCTCTGCTGGTGGGAGCCCGGCTCGTCCCTTCCCTCACGGTGTCCCCGCGGTTTCTAGCGGCTTTTTCGCCCCGTTTGGCTCCGCCGGGGGGGG